TTCTGTCTTGAAGATATGCCACATTTAAATATTAGCAATATTGTTGATAGTTTAAAAAAAGCAGATTAAAATAAAAATGGAAAGAAATATACTGTAATTGAACAAGTATATGAACAGATTTTTGTATTTAGGTAATTTTATTGTTCATTCACGTGTGTCTGATATACTTAAAAGTTCTATATTCTACAACATTGCGTCTCGTGTCAAATCTCGTGATCTTAAAGCCATGTTAGAATGTTGCTCATCAAAATCATACCTGGAGTGGTGTTTTGTTTCATTCACACATGTTTGAGTAACCCTTTACTATTAATCTTTCTATGTCTTCAAAGCTCAAAATGCTCTGCTCCACCTTGTGATGTCAATTAAAAGATACCTTTTACCTTTTGTTCAATAGAATATTAATTCCAGGGCTGAAATTATCCAAATGATTCTAGTGAAGGTGTATAGAATTTAAAAATCCAACAACATAGCAACACTTCCTGTATTACCACATGACAGAGTGTTTTCTGTTTGAGAGAAGATCTCAGTTTAAATATGCAGGATATGTGTGTTAGACTGTGTGAACGAAACAAAACACAACTCCAGGTATGTTTGTGATGAGAAAACATTATAATATAGATCAGAGAACAGCGTACTATAGGCCGTTTAAACCTCAACTAATATTTTATACTTGCTTTTAACAAGTGACATGTACATTTGTTGTTGTTGAGTACCTTATTGTTTTTTATGTTTTCAGTAGTTGTATTGTGTTTGCATTGTGTATTGTGACTTTGATTGTGATTGTCCTTATCTATTCTGTGTTTGTGTACAGCACTTTGGCCAGCTGTAAAGCTTTTAAAGTACTTTATAAATAAAGTTGGTATGGTATGGTATAGACTAATTTGAGCACTAAATCGGCATCTTAATTTTTGTCAGTATTGCTCAGCTTTACCCCACTGGTATACATCATGAAGCTCCTCTGTGTTTTTAAAGTCCTTACATTTTTACACTCATTTTATAATAATTTTACTGTCCCTCACTCACAGCTTAACAAAACGTTCTATTTTGCCCCAGTAGTATTTGCACGTAACGCCATGTAAATATGCCTGAGGGTGAGTGGTCAAATAATCCCTCTATATAAAAAGCTTTGAATTCTATAGAGGTAAAAACGCTGTAAAAATGACTACACTGTTTTTGACAATTCAGGATTTGCTCAAATAAATGTTCCCCATCAGTGAGTAGGGAGGAGGAAGTCGAGGTCAGGCTGGTTCAGCGAGCTCAGTATGTAGTTCACATCCTGTCTCATAGTCTCATACTGGGGGTCCTCAGTGGATTGTTTTCACTGTAAACTCCAGCGCATCAAGATTTCAGAGGAAGTGTACAGCATGCAAACCAAGGACCGAAGGAAAGCAATGAAGGACAAGAAGTTTTTCCGTTCCACTGTCTGCTCCTACAAAAACTGTTACTTAATTAAAGAGACATGTTATACTGCTGTTACCTTATCAAAAACATATCTGGAGTTGTGTTTTATTTTATTCACACATGTTAGAGTACCCCTTTATTCTTAGTCTATCTATCTCCAATCTCAAAATGCTCTGTCCCCCCTTGTGATGTCATGAAGTTGTAGTTTTGTTTTGTTTTAACAGCTACTTTTTAGCTTTTGTTCAGCAGAGATTGGCAATTCCAGGGCTGAAATTATCCAAATGATTCCAGTGAAGGCCTGTGGAGTTTAAAAACACAGTGGAGCACTTTCTGTAATATCACATCACATGCTGGAACACAGTGTTTTAAGTTTGAGACAAGAACTCAGCCTAAATATGCCGGATTTGTGTGTTAAATGAAACAAAAAACATGACTCCAGGTATGTTTTTAACACAAATTTGAAAGTATTATTTACACTAGAGTCCAATTAAGTAATATTAAAAGATGCTGCCGTTGAGCTTTTAAGAATTTATAGACTCTATTGATCCTCCAGGCAGTTTTTGCATTTAACACACGGGATACCCAGTTCCCCTTCGTGCAGAACCCAGGGGATATCTGTAAATCTAAGAGCTAAGATCTGGGTCAGGCTTTGGTAGTTTTCATACTTTAGGATGTGAGGATGTCAAACTTAGATGGGGAAGCAAGAGCCGGATTTCCCTATAGATATATATTACATAATGTTTTAATTTGAAATATCTAAAAGGCAAATTTACATATGTCGAACCTGATCATTTTTGTTAGTGTCTAGACCCTAAAACTTAGTGTGTTACAACAAAACATTTACCATCCATCTGTATTAAGTATTATAGAATGTTTTGATGTTATCTGTTATTCCAAGTGGACGATTAGCCTATTATCACATCAAATACTGCAATTTAAAGACGAAATATTTTAATTCTATTGGGTATTTTAACTGCTAATACAAAACATATTTAGATCAGTGTTACCTTTTATTGTTTTGAAAATGCTATATTCACCCAAACTGAAGTATTAATATGTTTTATAAGTTACTTTTTCATGTTTGGTGCTCTTGAGTCTCATCCTTTTTTTTGCTCTCTGCACTGTCACCCCCCCTTCAGAGCCCTATCACAACAATCAGGGTGCATCCCGCTAATGAAACTACTACACATCACATCAGGTTTGTCAAGTTGTTATGTGCAATTTTGTATCAGCATGAGTGATTTAGGATGTGGGCGGAGCCTTGTACACAATCATACTGCTAACCACAATGAAGGTTCAAATAGAGCCTGGGAGAGATTGCTAAATTACTCAAACAGGCATGGATAACATATAAAACTTAGACATGTTTTTGATGAGGGAACAATGTTATAACACTAAAACAAATCAATTTCTAGTGTAGTGTTCGCCACCTGCTTGTCTCCATGGAAATGTTATTGGTTTGTTTAGAATGTTCCACAGTATAGCTTAAATCTATCCAGATAAGCAGTTTACAGCACTATGCTACATTATAATTCAGATCTGTTGAGAGTTACCTTTATTTACAGAAGGAACTATTGTATTTTTGAGCAATAGAAACACCTTAATGAGTAAATGTTTAAAGTCATACTGTGGAATATTCAAGGAAAAAGAAAAATAATATCTCCATGGAGAAGAGCAGGTGACAGATCCTCCACCAGAAAAGTTGAGCAGTGCACCTTTAAGTATGTTTTTATAAATGCATTTAACCAAGTAAATCTGTGTATTTATGTGTAGCAGAAAAATGTTATAAACTTTCCATTCCTTTTCTCCATTACATTCGTTTCATATATTCCAGTGTGTGGGCTGTTTAGAGGATGGGGGATGCTATGGAGTTGTGACACTTGTATGCATCCATCTGCGTTCAAACAGTGCGTTCAAATAGTGACAGATTCTTGTCATGATCCCGGTGATTCATGGGGCTTTGTGCGAGAGGAAGTCAGCGCCTCATTCTGCTGCTATGAAAAATATCGCACGGATTTCAACACGTAATGGGGACATCAATTTAATAAGTGGGCTGGAGCGGGTGTCAGAGGAAGTGTGGTTTTTTACAAAGACGGGAGCGCATGCATGTTTATGACTACACACAGCTTTTGATATGAACCCCGCGTTTATGCAACGGACCAAAGCAGCTGAGTCTTTAAAGTGGTAATGGGCTCATGTGTACCATAATGTTTATGTAATTTTATTTTTGGCTTACTCGCTCTGTCATTCTGATTTTGCAGCCTTCTACACACAGAGATGATTTAAAAAGTGATTATAGATAAGATAAACCTGTGTGTATTCACAAAATATTATCCAGTAGAGTTCAGTGGTCTCCAAATATTACTTAAAAATATGCACTTTTTATCACTATCTACGAGAGAGAGAGAGAGATTTTTTCCACATCTTTGTAAATTCATTTCATTTGTGTTGTTGTTTGTGGCTGTGTGTGCGTGTTTATCTGTGTATCATTCGTTCATTCATTTTTCAAAATAAAGCCAAAAATGAGAAAACAACAACTATTTTCTTCATTATTTGTCTTCAAAAATAAAATGAAAAAACAGATAACGATTTGTTTTTTTCAGCTTTCGATTTTGTGTTTAAATGAATAATGGAAAAAATGGATAATGGCTGTTTCCCATTTCCCTGACTTAAACTGTGATGCTGAACTTTTTCCCTGCATATAGACTGAACCGGGACTAAAACAGGTCTAAACCAGGTCTAAACCAGGACTAAAACAGAAATAAACCGGGTCTAAACCAGAACTGAACCGAATCCAGGACTGAACCAGGACTAAACCAGGACTAAACCGGTCTCAGTCCTGGTCTTCTCCTGGTCTCAGTCCTGATCACCTGACAGTCTACGCGGGCGCACCTCCAGGCCCGTGCCGACACTCAGTACTGGTTCAGTTCTGATTTAGTCCTGGGTTAAACCCGGTTTCAATCCTGGTTGAGACCTGGTTCAATCCTGGTTGAGACCTGGTTCAATCCTGGTTGAGACCTGGTTCAGTCCTGGTTGAGACCTGGTTTAGTCCTGGTTCAGTCCTGTTTTAGTCCTGGTTCAGTCCTTGTTCAGTCCTGTTTTAGTCCTGGTTAAGTCCTGGTTTAGACCTGTTTTAGTCCTGGTTCAGTCCTGGTTCAGTCCTAGTTCAGTCCGTATGCGTCACAAAAGTCCGGCATCACAGTTAAAGTCTAGAAATGGGAAACAGCCATTATCCGTTTTTTCCATTATTGATTTAAACAAAAAATCGAAAACTGAAAAAACAAATCATTATCCATTTTTTCATTTTGGTTTTGGAGACAAATAATTAAGAAAATAGTTGTTTTTCTTCATTTTCTTATTTTTGGTTTTATTTTAAAAAACGAATGAATGAATGATATTTGGATTTTTTTTAATGGTTTCTAAGAGTCTATTGTGAAATATTACCCTAGTTTTATATATTACAACTATATACCTCAGTCACATTAACATACATTTGAAAGTATTTTTTACACAAGACTCCAATTATGTAATATTAAAATAAGTTGCCTTGATTGTTTGTGTGTGTTTATGGTTTCTAAGAGACCATTGTGGAACATTACCTTTTGAGCAGCTCCATATACTCTGTCTGCTTGATTAGCCCTGTCCTCATCATGATGGTCTGAAAACATTGCCGGTCGATGGCCCACAGCTTCACGTCGGTAACAGCTGTAATGAAAAGACAAGCGTACATAAGTGATGCTTACGTAATTGGGATAATTATAAAGCACATAAGCTAGACATGCTCCAGACTATAATTGTGCCTTTGTGTATTGAAACTCTACAGTGGCACCTTCAGCTTGTTCTGAGTGAGAGCAGACCACTAAACATCTACTGAATGGAAATTAGCCATCCATTTCCAGTTTATGTTTATGCATTATGGCTCCTTTATGAGGCTGCCCTGGCCTCCTCTGGAGCAAAGGCAAAAACAAAGCGCTATAGTAAGGGGCACGCATTCATTATCATGTGTTTAGAAGCTTTTAGTGTCTGAAAGATGGTGACACAAAATTCACCAATGAGGAATTAACAACATGCCAAGAATACCCTAAAAATATTTAAAATGTAAAACTTTAAAATAATCGCTTAAATGAATAACTTTAAAATATGAAAAAATAAATAAATCTGTGTAATTTTAATACTGCGTGTGATGCAATAAAGGTTACACTTTTTTTAAATTTTCTGCAATACACAACAAATGTAATAATGTGTAACTATGAATTAAAATTAGACACCAAATCTCTATATTCAAGTGGGCTGCTTTGAGAATGAATCAACTAGTGTACTACTATTATTATACTGTATTGGTGTACTGTATGGTATGGTAGGTAAAACAAGAAGCCACTAACATTTACAGCACTACTTCAAACTTCTACTTCAAACAGCGCATCTCCATCATGGCAATCTTACAAATGAGTGAGTGATAAAACACAGCATGTTGTTTTCAAATGTTGGTGTTTGCTTTATAGACTGGTCAAAATGCATCATTACATCTCTTAATCTTGATTTACCCGACAATATAAAAACTGCACTTCAGAAAATGTCCCACATCTGGACAATCATTAGCCTTTTATTGCCCAATGCAGCTCTGATTATTTGAATACAGAATGTGACAACAGGCCCAGGTGTTTCCAAAGTGGGGCTCAGTGGACCAACAGACTGAAACCTTCCATTTCCGGCTCTATCCTGGAGCCAGTATAAGCTCCAGCTGCTGATTGGGCCAGCAGAATAAATACAGGATTTAACACAATTAGCATTTCCTCAGCAGGCAAATTCAATTTATACTGTTGGAATACGTTTTCTGCATGGCTTGGATCTACTCATCCTCGCACTTTTATAATGAGGTTAAAGTTAGGCCATTGGGCTAGCTATACCTGTATCATTCTTTTCAAGTCGAATGCAATAGCACCACTTGTCCTGAACTTTAAAGACAATTGGAAACGCAAATTGTAAGTTTGACATCTGCTACAGACGACTTAACTTTGTGATGTCCACTTGCCTGCAACCATTTGGGATTAATTATCCTTGATTGCGATCTGGCCTGGCCCTTCGGCACACAAACTCTGAAGGATTACAGCCACATTCAGTCTTTCAGAGGGAATAAGTTCTTTCTTTTGTTAAAACTGGCAAAAGGAGAGACAAAGCGTGCGCTGAGAAAGTAATAGAAACCATTATGAAAGAAACCAATCCCACTTATCATGCACCCAAATAAAAAAAAAACAAAACGGAACAAAAACAAAAACATACACTTTAAGGCAGGGGTCTCCAACTTTTTTATCTTTATCCTTTTTTTCATCTAGCTATCTTTACAAAACGAAAATGCATGAGAGCTACTAGTTTTAGCAATCACAAGAAACTGAGTAAATATAAGAGCCATAGCAAACCTTAAATGAGGTACATTTAGATGCCTATTAAACATAAACCGTTATGCATAGAAGGGCACAAAGTTAGGCATCAAAATAAGACATGTACACTGGTAATAGGCATTTCATTAATCAAATTAGACTTATTCAGCACAATACGTGTAATACGTGTCTCCTGAGTTATAGGTTGTAGACCCCAGCTTTAAGGTAAGGCTTTTTGGGCGCATGAATAAATGTGAGGCTTAAATACCAAGCTGAACAACTGATTCAGAAACATAACTTTCATAACTATACAAAACTATACATAAATTAGAAACCCTACACTTACTCATACATACACACATACATTTTAGACTTCATCTGCGTAGTGTTGTATGCATTTGGATTGTATAGTACCGTATTATATTTATTGTGTTGTCCCATTCTGTGTAATGTTTGTATGCTTGTTGACTTAGACTTAAGACTTGGACAAATTTTATTGATCCACAAGGGAAATTATATAGGCACAGTAGCTCACACACCACAATACATATAATAACAAAGAGCAAAAATGTAAATGGTAATCATTAATTCTAGCAAAAAATATAGCAAATTTATATGTTGCAAATAAAAAATTACATAAAAATAAACCATTATGTTCTTATTTGGGAAGCTGAAACAGAGGGTTTTATGCCTCTTTGACGAGTGATGGAGCTGGGGCCTTTTCTGACCTTTACACTTGTTTCTTGGTAATGCTGTGGAGCCCAAACATCCACAAATCACATTTTTACTGATAAGGCTTCTAAGTTTGGAGACAGTTTGTCACTTGTTCAGAAACTTTAAGCTCGAAGCCGCACTGCACAACAGCAGATTCTTGGAAAAAGTTGTGTCCATCTGTTCTAAGTTCTTGCAAAAACTTGATATAAACTAAGTTGACACGAGACCTTAAAGGGCATATGGTGCATTTGGTGGGATAATACCTGTTGTAAATATATAAATGATAGTTTTAAACCAAATCAAGAAACTATTTATGAAGAAAAGGTGAAACTGTCCAGTTTATGCAAGAAAAAACACTTTTTCTGATACTTTAAACATGATTTCAACAAAATAAAAGTGTTTTCTTATATTTTTTATTTGTCAGATTATAATTTCTGTGTACAGTTGAGGAGTTTTGTATAACAATTATGGATTTCCCTGGTGTGATGTCCAATTTTTTAACTAGGTAGTACAATTTGAAACGTAGAAAATGGCCAAACTGGGGGAAAAAAAATAAATGTTTTTAATAAAATCTTAATGATCTTAACTGCGTGTTAGTGAATTGAGCAGTCTAACCTGTCATAGGCACTTTGTCACTGTCATAGGACAATTATAGGCCTGTCACGATAACAAATTTTAAACCATGATATATTGGTACTATAGAGATATGTGTGATAAAAAATAATATTGAAACTACTTTACGCCACTGACACAATATAAAATATAAATATAAGAAGATAAACTATTTTTAAATACTGTATCACTAAAAGGCCTGAGCTGCATTAGATAAATACTGGAATGAAAGCAAAAAGAACAGCCAAAGATGTTAATTATTCAACCCTCTACAACTCAACTCATATTGTATTACAACAAAAAGCCAAAAAAAATCCCTTCTAGCCAATTATTTATTTATTTATATTTTTTTCTTAGCTCACCTTGGTAGATAAGCCTTGTCGGTCACCTTTTTCAATTCCCCACCTATAGCTTTCTCGGCATTACCTCCATTTTTATTACATTTTATATTGTGTGGCCCACAGATTGACATGTATTTTTCCTTTTCAGCGCATTCCAGTATAAGCTCTATAGGGTGGCGGATGTCTCTATTGAACAATGGAGCCTTGAAGAGAAACTAAAAAATGTCCCCAAGAAGCAGACGAGCATTCACACTGACATTCATTCAGGAGCAATTTAGAGCCACAAATTCATGGCTAAATCCTGTCTTTAGAACTAATAATGGTGTATTGTGTTTTTGAAAATATATATAAATTGGGACATCATTGCAGTCTGAATATCTGTTTTTCTAGGTATTTTTGAGTTATAAAACCACCTGTAATTGGATTAATTTAAAGTAGAGCTGTGGAAAATTCCAGGCAGAGCAATGAAACATCCATTGAAACAAGCAGGCGACAAATCCCAGCTGTAAACTTACATAGAGCACCTTTAAATTATTTATAGAAGAACTATATCCAAATAAGTAAAAATAAATACATAGATTACACTTTGGTCTGAGACATAAGGCAGCGAGTTCTGACGACTTTGAGACCTCTCCACAGAAAAGAAAAAGTCCCAAATTGGCTATGCATGCAAAATCTCCTCCATCCAGTTACAGCTTTTGTAAACATTATACCATTTTTATATTTTCATTTAGTGCACCCTGTTTGGCCTGAGACATAAATGAGGGAGTGATGACTAGACTGATTCTCCATATAGTACGCAACGTGGTCCCAAACTGGCAACCAAGTAAGCAAAAATCTCCTCCTGGCAGCTATAGTTTTTGTAAACATTATACAGTTTTCATGAGCTCAACAGCTGAATTTACATTTCTTTCTATGTAAGAGGTACAGAGAAGTATTTGTCTTCACATTGAGAATCATCTACAAGGCTGTGCAGCAAACTGTGAGGAATAATATGATCCAAGTAAAGTGAAACTACATACTGTGACCCCAGAATAGCAGCGCATCCCCAAGGAGCTGCTGCCAGGAGGACACGTAATATCAAAATTCATCAGATAAGTCGACTGGGTATTTTCAGTCAATGTGAGGCTGACTGCTGCAGAGCTTTTCTTTCTGTCCCATCCCAGTGCAGTTATTGATTATGAGAATCATTTCTGCTCGTTTTCAACACGCCCAAGTTTTGCTAGAGGCCAGAGAAACTGATTCATTGTACAAGGAAGCGAGTGATGAATATCTATGGAAAGATTATAGAAATTCAAAGATTCAAGAATCACCAGCTAGATCTAATCATCTAGTATTTTAATTTGAAATATTTCTTAATCTTAATTTGTTCATGGTAAATGGTAATTGGTCACATTTTTATATAGTGTTTTTTCACCTTCAAGGCACTCAAAGCTCTTTACATCAAGGAACCACTCACTCATTCACACACACATTCATACATCAGTCTACGCCTGGTGGCAAGGTGGGTTAAATATCTTGCCCAAGGACACAATGACAGCATTCATCTGTGGGAGCCTGTATCACACTGCCAACCTGTGGGTCAGTGGATCTGACTGCTCAACCAATGATGTTTATGTGGGGAGCAGGTTTCGAAACACCAACCTGTCGATCAGTGGAC